GATGCTCCACTCGCACTATCATTTTCTATGTTCAGTGGACCATGAATCTGCGGTCAAAACTCTAATTTGGCATTAAAATTAAAAAGATCATATCATAGGGAACATGTGTACTAAGTTTTAAATTGATTGGACTTCAACTTCATCAAAAACTACCTTGACCAAAAACTTTACCATGAAGCGGGACAGACGGACGGACGGACGAACAAACGGACGCACAGACCGAAAAACATAATACCCCTCTACTATCGTAGGTGGGGCATTAAAACAAATTGAAAGAGTTGGTCCTGTTTGTTTCATAAAAAAGAACGGCCTAGTATCCTGTCTTAAGGAGGGGTAAATCGTAACTTTTAAAAATCACTCTGATTCAAACAAAAAGTTCTCTGAAACTGACATTATTAAGATGCTTGATTTATTGATTTACAACATATGTGTTACGTTTGGAGGACGTGTTTTTCAACAAACAATCGTCATTCCCAGGGGAACCAAGTATGCACCTCTTGCCGACTTGTTCCTTTATTCATATGAGGCTGAATTCATACAAGAAATTCTTAGGACGAGATAATAGAAGGTATCAGCATCCTTCAACTTAACATTCCGCTGTATAGATGATGTTCTCTCACTAAATAATTCAAATTTGGTGACTATGTTGAACGCATCTATCCCATTGAACTTGAGATGAAGGAAACAGCAGATACAGTTAAGTCTGCCTCATATCTTGATTGCATCTATAAATTGACAATGAGGGTCGGTTGAAAACAAAACTTCACGTTAAAAGAGATGATTTCAACTTCCCGATTGTGAACTTCCCATTTCTATGTAGAAACATTCCAGCAGCGCCTGCATACGAAGTATATATTTCCCAGTTGAAACGATATTCCAGGGCTGGTTTTTCTATCATGATTTCCTTGATAGAGGTTGCTGTTTACAAGTAAGCTATTCAACCAAGAGTTCCAACTGGTGAAGTTGAAATCATCCGTTCGTTAATTTTATGGACGCCATCACGAGTTGGTTGAACGTTATGGAATATCTGTTTCACAGATGACAACGGATATGTTCCAATTGTCGTTACTACAATCTCGTTTTTCCCCGAATGTGACCTACTGAATAAGACTTATCACCTGGTTTGTACTTACACGACCAATAAGACAGGTGTAACATGTTGAACAGGATCTGGTTACCCTTCTGGAGCACCTAAGATCACCCCAAGTTTTTGGTTGGGTTCGTGTTGCTCAGTGTTTAGTTTTCTATATTGTGTTTTGTGTACTGTTGTTTGTCTTTGTCTTCTTCTCTTTTAGCCATGGCGTTGTCAGACTGTTTTCAACTTATGAGCTTGAATGACCTTTTGGCATCTTTCGCCTGTCTTTTAATATTTAATTGCTTTCTTATTTCTGTAAAAAAAGTCACTAGTCAAAGGACTCGAAAATTATTTTGTGGTACATGCAGTTCAAATCTCATTATTTATCTATTTATGGGGGGAACTTCTCAGGATGTAAGAATCTTTTTTCATTGGTTAATGTAAAATTCAGCAGCAGTTTCAGTCTGAATTATAAATTTATCTTAATCTGAAAGAGTAACTTGAAAAATCAATAGTTTTGTGCATACATCTATTTAGTTTTGAATTCAAAGCACTTGCATTTGTCACCTTTTCCTAATATAACATAGTTGATTCTTTATTTCGTTGACATTTGACATTATCATATCGTCAGCTCCAACAGCAGACATACAACCAGCATAATAACTACATTAATTTGGGGATCTCAATTTTGAAGCATCCAAAATGCTTTAATGCTGCATTTTCAAAAAGTACAAAAGCAGTTTATAAAAATGTGGAAAACAGTGGAGTGAAAAATCAAGAAAAAGCCGCTTTTGTTGTCTTGCATTAGCATTTGCTGGTGTAAGGGAGTGATGATTGTAGACACCAGCTTACTCAGCAGACTGTTTTAAAAGATAGCTACGATGAGGATGCTTATTGTAAAATTACTCTCAATGCCCAATATTTAATGTTATTGCTGCTAGAGGCCTCCGAATTGACGTGGTTAAAAAGTTTTCTCTCTCTCTCTCTCTCTCTCTCTCTCTCTCTCTCTCTCTCTCAGAAAAAGCGAAAACATGCCAGTGATCTTCAATATTGACGTGGTTGATAGACTTTCAAACCAACTGTAGACTCTATGCAACTACCTTTTCAAATGGATGTGCACATTTATGTCAAGTGTAACTTTAACTATACATAGTCAGCTTCATTTGTATCGTAGTCTCTGTGAATCGAGTTTGTTGGTACTTAAAATATATATATTGTGATTTCAAATCGGTTCAAGTCAAAAACTATATATTCCATGCATTGTTTGTGTTGTTTGGGAAACAAATTTTCATGATACCACTGCGCTTATACTGACTGGTCTGTTTACATAAAAACTTCATATTATATCGAATTCAAGATGAAATTTAGGCATCAAGATTTATTTTTTTTCATATTTCCAACATCCGTTTAGGTTTAAATAGCCAATAATGAATTTCAACATTTTTTGATTGAATCATGGACTATATGTTAACTTTACAGTACCTATTTCTCCTATGTCCTTTATGGCATGTAAACTAAGCTTAATCGAAAATATCTGTATATGTTATAAAATTTTGCAATCGCAAATATTAGATGTAGATATTTTTTGTTGAAAATTCCCGTAAATAAAGATAAATTTTTCTTACATGTTTGAAGCGGGGGTATATATCACTCACCTCTTAGGCGTAAATATGACAGCTTAATTTGTACAACATTGACAGAGAATGATGCCGTGTGATTTTTGATCCCCCCTTTCTGACCTTAATCACACCTTTTACAAATATGCACCACTCTGGCACTCTACGACAAACCTTAATCAAAGGGTCTTATATTTATCTTTAAAATAAGACCAAAATTAGCCGTGAGTCTTTCGATCCATTTTTTTTTAAATATCCTACTTATCACCGTACTATATGAATGAGATCAGATGAATATAGAGTTTACTTTTGACCGGAAATTGACATAATGATAGATTTTGATATGAAGTTTATGTATGTCACGATTTCTTCTTGAAAATATATATACAAAAGAGGTTTCGCTGCATTGGTTTTTTTATCAATTATTTACTTCAGGCGCAGCAACACATGCAATTTTAGTTAGGAAAAATGAAAAGACTAAAATAAGACATGGGTCTACATAAAGTGAAAGTCTATTGATTTTGTATGTGGATTCATTGATACGTGAGTTATTTCGTAACATATTTGTTGCATTAGTTGGTACGAAATGGTTGAATGATTAATGATGGAGAATATTTCATTTCAATTTGTCATTACACTGTATATTAATTTATGTTGAAAAGTTAATGTACACTAAGAGTTGAAAAATTGGATTGGTTGTTGACTTAATGAGTATTTTGTGGTGATGTTAACCACCAAATTTTGTTAACTTTGGCGGCATCAATGTACTTTGGATACTCAAAGCCCAATTGCAATCTCTTATCAGTGGTGATTGCTGTTCACTGAATCAATATTGTTGTAAGTCATGTTGCCACTGAAAAAATTATTCTTTGGCCTGTTGAAATAAAGCCATGATTAATTCGCAAATTCATTTCATTTCAAAATTTATTAGACAATTACAGAACGTTCATGAGATATGTCAACAAAGGCACATGTGGAGCAAGATCTGCTTACCCTTCCGGAGCACCTGCGAGCACCCCATATTTTTGGTGATGTTCGTGTTGCTCAATCTTTAGTGTTACTAGAACACACCCCCGTCATCGCGGGACCATAACTGAAATGAAGAACTGCCTATAGTTTTAGCCTGGATCTTTTAATTAGTATTTGTATTATCATCTGATAAAGTCGAGCTGATTATAAGGTGCTCATTTTTCTATGCTTTCAAAATCTGTCTTTTTGAACCCGTCCTGGTTATCTTACTACAACCTTATTCCTAATTTTGTATATAATTGTTTTTATATTTTACATTGTTTATATTTTAAGGATGAACGAATCAGGTTAGTGTAGGTTTGTATGTTTTATTGCATTGTAGTTATTGTTTTTGGGGAAGACTAACTTTCTGGTAGTAAGACCCGTCACTACCAGGCTGGGAAACTGGGTAGGCAAATGCTCACATTTAATATGTACCGATACAGTGTGTTAAATGTCATCATTTACAACATACCCCATGGTGGTTTTCCTATTAAAGAAGGAAGATACATAACATACATACAAACGGAAACTACATGTGACATATACTATTGGTATCGGCATCGGATTCGACCAGGAACTCGTTAATTATTGGCAATATTAATTATATGGAAAACAAAAGGGCCTTGAATGGTGTAATTTTTAATCAACAACATTGTCCTATATTAGTTATATATAAAGTTTAATTCTTTGATTCGTGGTTTTTACGTCATGCCGGCTAACAAATTGGACCTCGTTATTTTAGTATTGTAGATATGTTGTGTTTTATCTACTGTTGTTTTTCTTATCGCCGTTTTATGTATTTTGCTATCTTATTGTCAGTTTGTTTTCGATTTAGTGAGTTTGAATATCCCTTTTGTATCTTTCGCCTTTATTTTATAACTATTTCAATGAATTAAATATGAACATCTACTTCCCATTAGGTAAGTGCAGTCTTTACTAGGTCACACATTCACATTCACCAATTATATAAAATCGAATGTTTAATATCAACATACTAGTAGTTGAGAAGTTTGATCGATATGTCTAACAACAGTCATCCATGAGGGTAAATTGAAATTTTTGAAAAATATATCAGTTATCTAGCTTATTCAAATTTATAAAAACAGAGTAAACACAAAAACTTCCTTGAATATGTGTGTTGTTTTTTTGTTAAGAAGAGATTTATATAAATAGGTTTATAAAGTTTCTCAAAGTTACAAAAACAGAAATTGGCAGTTATTTGTTTCTTTTCAGATCCATTAATCGATCACTTTTAATTTGTGTATGTATTTTAAATTTACCAAAATAAGATTACTTACAAACTTTTATACCACTAAAGCTAGTAGCGTTTCCAAGCTGTAATGAGAACAGTATTCAGTCTTGTAAAAGATTTAATGCGAAACAAAAGTTATAGCTATGAATACCACATTTCTTTATTTTTTTATAGGTTTTTTTTAATGCATTTGATATTACCGAATTAAATTGTTTTGACTTGACAAATTTGTAAACCTCCATGAATTGTTATAAAACTTGTATAGGAGTTATTCTTCAAGATCAAGATAAAAGCATCTACAGAAAAACATGTTTTCCTCCGTTAAGTGTACCGGTTAATGTACAGTCTATCAACATTAAATTTACGCTTTTACACTGACAGCAGAATTATCCGGCGAGACACAGGGTTAATAAGCATGTATTATTGTCATTTTGTTTATTTTCTTTTGTTTCCTATTCTGACATCGGACTCGGACTTTTCTTATGCTGAGTTTTACTGTACGTACTGTTATGCGTTTGTTTTTTCTACATTGGCTAGAGGTAAAGGGGGAGGGTTGAGATCTGAAAAAACATGTTTAACCCCGCCGCATTTTTGCGCCTGTCCCAAGTCAGGAGCCTCTGGCCTTTGTTAGTCTTGTATCATTTTTAATTTTAGTTTCCTGTGTATAATTTGGAGTTTAGTATGACGTCCATTATCACTGAACTAGTATACATATTTGTTTACGGGCCAGCTGAAGGACGCCTTCGGGTGCGGGAGTTTCTCGCTGCATTGAAGACCCATTGGTGGCCTTCGGCTGTTGTCTGCTCTGTGGTCGGGTTGTTGTCTCTTTGACACATTCCCCATTTCCATTCTCAATTTTATCTTTACTTTATTTATTAATTTACAGCTTCCATTTGAGACTAAGATAAAACGGCAGGACCAAATGGTTTGGGATATGTCCGAATTACTGTTAATTTTTTAGTACTTTTTTCTTATTTTTGTCTGGTGTTCCTTTTTTTCAAACCAAATAACTCTGAACAACAACTTGAACTTTAATTTGAACTTTAACTTAATGGATAGCGGTACTCATCCAAAGCGCATTACACAAACGATATATGGAAATCGGTCAGTAGTATGAAAAGGCCGATTCTGCCGCAATCGCATTTTCAAGGGGAAATCCTGCATAGGACCCCCAGCCCCGACGGCCAAATGCAAACGGACGGCATCCATATTGAGCATAGGGTAAATACAAGAATGGCATATGTATTCGATGGTAGAAAAGTTGCTCCAGAGGATAGTGGGGATAAGGATACCTTAAAGGGAAGGATGTCACAGATTAAAATAAATAAAGATATGACATCCGAAAGAAATATGATGGATTTCTTTCTGGAGAATGAAGAAGATTTGGAGGATAGCACCCCAACCCCCCAAAGGCAGCAGCAGTGCTGCAATGCTCCAAACATAGTGCAGATGGATGAGCATACCGAGCAGTGTCAAAAATGCGGTTCACAACCCACCAAGCCGCGATTTGAGCATCATCAACCATGGGAGCAGAAGACCACTTGCAATGTTCCGCTCAAGAGGAAGAAGGGTCAGTTCTGCAAGAGCAAGCCAGGGAAGGATGGTCTCTGCTGGAGACATAGCAAGCAACCACGCCAGCAGGAGGAGGAGGAGACCATCCAAGTCGAGGGTAAGATGGTGGTAAAAGAGACCATGAAGACCCTCCGTCAAATAGCTAAGGATGAGGGTCTGAGGGGGGTCAGTAGGAAGAACAAGGAGGCCTTGGTGAAGCTCATCGAGGAGAAAACCACCCATAAATTTGCCCGCCAGGAAGTCTTCAGCAAGAAGCAGCTCAAAGCGCTAGCAAAGAATCGTGGCCTCACCAAGTACTCTCAGCTCAAGAGAGACGATCTGATCCAGCTGGTGGAAGAGGACATCAAAAACGCTCCAGTCGAGGATGAGATCAAGGTCATCGATAGGCGGGAAGCTCTGAATGGCGTATTTGGCACGGTCGTCATCGAACCCGCGAAGCAGAGCTGAAGAAGACCAACCTCACGACCGGAGAAAATACCTACATCACCCCTACCTTCAGATTACGCACGACAATGATCACGGAATCTGACGACCTCGAATTGGAGATTGCCTTCATGATGGAGAAGGTCAAGGAAAATATGGCAAAGTACATGCGGGAAGGGAGCGGGTCGACTTTCAGCAGCGTCGAGAAGCTAGAAATCCACCTCAACCAATTCAAGCCACTCAAGGGGGGCTCCTTCATATCAACCCCATCGGCTCTCGTGAAAAAGAAGGCGATCATCAATGTTAAAAATGAGGATGATCGCTGCCTCCAGTGGGCAGTGCTGGCAGCCCTTCACCATGAGGAAGTCGACCAGAAATCCACCAACCGCGTATCGCAGTACAAGAAATGGGAAGAAGAGCTAAAATTCGAAGGCATCGACTTCCCAGTCTCGCTCAGGGCGATCGATAAATTTGAGAGGCAGAATCCCGCAATCAACGTCAACGTCTATGGCTTCAACGGCCAAGCCCAACTTCGATCGCCGCGTCGTCTTCACCGAGAATCTAGCAGCCGTCCACATGAAGAAGACCAAGCTGAAGTTTGATAAGCCGATCTACCTTGGAGCCTGCATCTTAGATATCTCGAAGCTCCTGATGTACGACTTCCACTACGGATTCGTGAGGAAGACCTACGGCAGTAAGGCCCGGCTGCTCTTCACCGACACCGACAGCTTGGCCTATGAGATCCAGACCGACGATTTCTACCAGGATATCACCCCGCACGTTGAGGCTAAATTCGACACTTCCAACTATCCTCCTGAGCATCCCTCTGGCATCCCCACCGGCAAGAATAAGAAAGTCCTCGGGATGTTCAAGGACGAGTGCGGCGGTAAGACCATGACCGATTTCGTGGGGCTCCGGGCGAAGCTATACGCCTTCAGGATGGATGACGGTAAGGCCAACAAGAAGGCGAATGGAGTCACGAAGAGCGTCATCAAGCGCAGCATCGCCTTCGAGGACTACAAGCGATGCCTGGACACCCAGCTAGAGATCCATCGACCGATGAATATCCTCCGGAGCCATCTTCATCAGATCTACGCGCAGGAGATCAACAAAATCGCTCTCTCCGCCAAAGATGATAAGCGTCACATCCTCCCCGACGGCATCAGCACCCTCTCGCACGGTCACTATCGAATCACTCACGGGTGAGGACACTTAGCAGGCTTTGACGGGTGCGGATGCCCATCCCGCACTTAGCAGACTCTGACGGGTGCGGATGCCCATTCCGCACTTGGCCCATACCTAGATAAATGAGCATCATTCGCGTGCACGACATCCTCCTCCCTCACAAGCCTCTCTCGAATCTAGAGCTGGAGGAAGCTACCACAACCCTAAGAATCGCTCGATTCAGAGGCGTATTCATGCGCGATGCCCTACCACCCACCCCACACCCCATCGAATGCGGCATCCTGAATCACGACGATCGCGATGGCCCCGGCACCCACTGGACGTGCTGGCATAAGCGCGGAGGACTCAAAGTCTACTTCGATCCTTACGGCCTGCCTCCACCCGACGAGATGGTCGACTATCTGCAGCCGGAGATTCGATATAATACCGATGAGCTCCAGCGTCGTGGCGACGTGGTCTGCGGACACTTTTGCTTGCACGTATTGAAGCTCCTTTCGGAAGGTCGGACGCTCGAGGAGGTGATCTTCGGACTATAGATAAATGGATAAGTTTGGATCTCACTCGAGGAAGCGCATGCCCACCTGGCGGATGCTTCAGGATCTCGATATGAACGATCATCGCATCACCCGTCTTGGATTGCCGTAGGATAGCTCGGACGCAGTCACGAAGAGATGGGTCAATCTCCAGCTGAAGGATAACGTGAAAGACATCGATGACCTAGAGGCAGAGCTTGGTGCGATCCAGAAAGCACTCGAGGCAGAGAAGAAACGCTTCGACCGCATCGAGAAATATATGGCAAAGTGCTTACCCATGGTAGGTGGTAAGATGGAAGGGGATATCGATATGCAAGGGCATGCGATCCACAATCTTCCAGAAGGGACCCGAGCGGACGAGCCAGTCACCAAGGGATGGTATGCGAAGAACTGGCAGGATCTGGTAGTTTCCATGCAAGGGAAGATTAATGCCCTCGAGGGGAAGGTAAAGTCTTATCACACAGCAAATAGATCCAAGCGCGACCTGGGACTCGAAGATGAAGTAGAATCGGGCCGGGTGAAGCCGCCACCCTCAACTGAAGATGAGATAGTAGTCACAGGCTTCTCACTTCTCCCTTGATCTCTCCCAGTCTTTCTGGTCTCTCTCTCAAGGGACCGGAAAGATTACTGATAGGGGCTTATTGCAGGTCGGATTGCTTGATCCAGGAATTAAAGCTCGCGGGGTATCCTTTCCACTTCACGTGGGCCTCCTTCACGGCTCCCCTAGTCCGCCGTCGCAAGACCTTCTCGATGCGATAGACGTCCTGGTTAGTGCGCTGCAGCTCGGGCTCGTAGAAGGATCCCTGGATCTCCTCGTCGTTGAAGTCCTTGAGGCGATAGGTGGGTGGCTGCGTCGCTAGGGCCTGGAAGATGATGAAGACTTCCTCCGTCCAGCGCGGAGTATATCCCTTCTCGAATGTGCCCTTCTTCTTGGTGATCCGGACTTTATCGCCTACGTCGAATCGATGAGGCTGCATGGGTGGGAGATCCCCGTAAAGATTCCAGAAGACCTTGGCCTCGTGCTCTTTCCGGCTGGCGGCGGTGGGAGTCATCTTGATGGATCGATGCTTGGTGGTATTATACTTGCGGACGAGATCGTCCAAGACGGGGAGGTAGGTGTGCGTAGAATTGGCCGAAAAGTATTTGAACATCTTCTCCTTCATGGTACGATTCCAGCGCTCCACCACGCTCGATTTCTCTTCGTTCTCGGTGGAGTAGAGATCGACGTCGTGCTTCCGTAGCAGATCCTTCATCTCACGATTATAAAATTCAGTGCCCTTATCCGTCCATAGCTTCTGGGGCGTGCGATGCTTGAAGACGGCCCAAAAGGCATCTCGCACCGTCGCACCTTTCTTATCCTTGAGCGGCAC